CCCTCTCGGTTGCAAGTAACGAACAATATAGAATGAAGAAACCGGAAGAGCGTTAGATCACGTATTTTCCGACTGGTTCCAAACACAGGATTGGCTAGCAAAGACGAATAGGAAGAATCCTTGTCATCAGAACGAAAGCATCGACCAATAAAAAAAGTGGCAGATGCAACCAACTAACTTAGTGTCAAACTGCACCAACATCATTACCCACCTAGCCTTGATACTAAGTTAAGTCAAGTCATTCCACCTGGAAGCGAAGATTGAGCAAAAACCTAAAGCAGCAAAACAATGAACTGGGGTAAATCGAAGTATAATCAACAACAGTGTGTTTAGTTAATCATTGATTTTACTGCAAATGGGCAGAAAAATAGGAATACAACTTCATACGGATTGGTATCACCTTAAGTAATCGATTGCTTCTCGGTCGGTTCTCAACGAATTAGAGGAAAACAAGAAGAGTCACCCACACGAGATCGGTGTTATTCAGTCATTCGACAACCACCGAACCGATCTATTTATGATCTCGCTGTTTTCGCCCGTGGTAACATGTGCATGGTCCTGATCAATACAATCATTGTAGCGGGAACAGATATCGGGCCAGTGAGGTACATGTGTCCTTACAAACCTATCAGATAGACGTGAATTGGAGAAATCCTGCAAGGACAATGAACTCCCTTACATTCGCTCACACGCGATATTCCTTGTGTTGACTGTTTCGCTTTCTCCATGTGACTGAAAAAAACCGTAGATGCCCAGGGTCCTCCTCCGCATAATATTCTTCCTATGCTGCTTTGTTCGAACAAATCGATACCGGAAGGTTGAAAATGTGATGAAGATTACTCATCTTGTGCTACTAGTATTCCAACAGCAGGTAACAATGCCTCCCACCTGTGGGGTGGGACGCCTTTCCATGAATGGCGTCCTTGCGTTTCCTCAACAACCCGTATTCCACTCTTCCCTCTGTCCGTTCACACGTGTTACGCAATCCCATCCTATCCTCGTCAAAAACACACCTCTCGTAGTCGTTCACGTCTATGGGGAACCTCAGTACAGTTGAGTGTAAACCAGCACTGGAGAGATGATCTTCCGTTAAAACTGCAACGTGATTTGTGATTAGTTTGAGTTGTGCAGATGCCATCCATAAACTGTCCTCAGTCACGTGACCAACTGTTAAGTAAACTGAACTAGGAAAGTGATGAAACCCTGTAGGTGTTTCTTAAAAATAATTTTCTGGAGGCGCCGGGGATCGAATTGGGTTATTGACTAAAGCGATCTACATCACCGTAATTATGTCTGTCTAATCAACTCTGGAAAACGATCCCGACACAATGGTATTCAAGAACCGAATTCGGGTACAGCAAATAGTCTTTTGACCTCGATTTATTCCATATACTTAAAGAGGACCGTAGGCCATCGTCTACCGCAACGCACCCTATTCGCAATCGCTGCTCCAGGTTGGAAGAAACCACGCGGAGGTTAACAGATTACGTGGAAACAAGACTTGAAAAAAAAGACAGAGCGATTAGGTAGAAAAGATGCTTCCCATCTTCCAGTTGTGGTCCAAAAGAATCTGCAACTCGTCCGTGGAAAACACTGAAGGATATGGCAGTGAACCAACAGTAGTGGTGTGCTTGTTATCATTTCTTATCTAGTCAGAATGCCTGAAAAGGTATATGTATGCACACTTAGATCGTGTACTCGGCGTATTGATCACAGAGGTTCACTTTATTTGCCTCCCTCCAATTAGGCCCAATCCTGTCACCATCTTGTGCTTTATCACTTGAATTGTGTAGATTGTGAGCTTGGCAGCGATCAGTGAAGTTCACTTCACTGAATCTCACTGTTCAATAATGATGATGATACTGATGGACGGTAGGCGAAAGCTAGTAACCAATAGATATGACTGAAACGGGAGGCTCAAACTAAGGAACTACGGATGTCCCGCACCACCGGTACAGTAGTTTGGTTGGGACTATGGTTAAATTTTCACAATAAGGCCGTAGTTTCGCCGGTGTTTTGATGCAGTCAGTGTGAGCTACCGAACAGCAGTGTTAGATGTGAATGATGAGACGAGCGACTTCCACGGTGCACAGCATTTGATCATTTAGCATAGTCTGTATCCCCATACGTGAGAGAGACTGGAATCTTGTGGTCAAAAGCCACCTAGCCTCGGTTCATTTCACCGATCCGTGTGTGTAGTTGTGTCACCAGATTAGGGACTTTTTCTCTCTAATTCTCACCAGGCTGAGCACATTGATCTGAAGACATTCGTAGGGTATGCACCATTCCCATAATCTATACGGGATCAACAAACACTCTTGGGATCCCGTCGCTACGCATAGTTTGAGCAATCATGCGCCGTGTGCACAAATGCAACAAGATCCGTTTTCAAACATTGTAGATTGGTTAATCTCTGCTCTGCTTCGTGATCCGGATTCACCAGCAAGAAATATACTTTGACAGATAACTCACTCACTCATTCATCGATACAAAAACAACAACAGAAGGGATCAGATGATTGATTTTGCCCGCATGCGGATGCCGTTGGATATTCGCCTATCCGGAGAAGCATGGTAGTCAAGAGTGAGATATGTCTACTCTCTCCACCAACGCCCGAGCAACAGATTACATACAATGGTAGTCCAATAATGGTTACTAGGGCATCCATTGAACTTGACTTTATCACATACACCTATGCATTCCCGGGGGTGGGAATAGAGTTGACTGACTGAGTGTGTGAATTCTGCCGAGAATCCAAACACAAGGCAAAATCTTAAGACCTACCCGGTCCCTGTCTTGACCTTCAAAGCTTTTTTTATGTAGATCGTAAAGATGAAGTTACCAAAAAAATAAGCTCCGTATGTTTATTCACTCTGAATTGATTTGCAGAGATTTCACAGTTTTGTGATAAATAGCTCCAGGTGCTTGCTTCCGGCTCTGTAGATAACTATTTTAAACCAATTTCGGAAAAAACCAAGGCTTTTCGATGGCTGAAGGCTGCGTTTGCTGAGGTGCTTAGCATTATAGTCAGACCATATTCAGAGAGTCTACAATGAATGATTCGCAAAACATGATGACAATTTGGGGAATTGTGAGTCACTCAACTTTTAAAACATGATATTCAACTGAACCTGATCAAATCTGTATAATGGGTAGTATATGACGGATTGAACAGAATTTCGAAGAAGCACATACGACCACTGTCATCAGGTACGCGCTTACCCGGTAATCCTTTGTCTGATCATCCTTTTACTTATACCCCCGACGTGGATGAGGCAACACAAATCGCTATTGGAGCTCAAGGGTTTGATTTTCAGACAAACAAGCCTCGAGTGCAATGATTCTGCGTTAGGTATTGTGGATTAGATGCGTCCAGCCTCAGTTAACTCAATGCCCCTGCCAACACAGCGTCGCACTTTGTGCTCCCAGAGTGCTCCAAAATTCGCACTTTCTAAATGAGACCTGTATAAGCTCAAATGTACGTTTATTGCATTAAAAAAAACAAATGCATTCCTGTCAATAGTTGTTATATTTATCTACATGGTTTTCTTCCGAAGTAACTGTTTGTTTGAATTGATTGCAAGTGGTTTCAATAGCGGGCAGCCATTATCAAGTTGCTCTTCGCTTCTATGCTTCGTGCTATCGTTGCCTACTGTTTATTTCTACTCTATCTCCATTAGATTACTCGTCGTATTTGTTTGTAAACATTTTCAAAATCTCGCCATACATTGAATAAACTACCTCGTGGAACAAGTAAATGGAGCGGTTATTGGCAGTTGCAGAGTTATTTCCCGACGGAGTGTCCACAACTGCAACCTGACAACAAAAACCAACAATTTCATGGTTAGTAAGACAAATTGTACGTGATCCTATTTGGTTTTAGGTCCGCAACCCACATTTGAACTAAGTGATGACAATTGTTGTGATGTCATTGCCCCTGAAAACCCAAGCAGCCCACAAACCAGCCAGCCCTGCACCGGTATGCATTGAGATATTATGTGATTAAGAGATACCGATAGGTAATATTGTTAATCGCATATCTCCGGAGAAACGACGCCATTATTTGCATTGAGTGATTCTTCAAACAGTTAGTTGTAATACTATGTAGGACAAGGTGTGTTTATTGTTGTTGCTAGATCAGCAGTGCTCTGAAAGCACACAGACTGTTTTACGCTCAATATGTTCAGCCCATTCATCAGATATATGACGTAATGTGTAGAAAAGCAATTAATTGTCTGGCCTTATATAATTTCAGATGTTTACGGCACTGCTGAAAACCGCCCCAGTTTGGCTGATATATGCCCGGCTTTTTTCGATTGAAGCTAAACTGTGTGCCGGTGCCATCAACATAATTTTGAAGCATCTTAGCAGATTATTCCGGGAAGTACCGAGCGACAGTCGAACTCGTTTACGTACTCCTCGAATATCGAAAAGCATCTCTATGGAATCCGGAAACTATGTTCACTTTGGCTTGTGTGATGACATTAAAAATACATTCGGCCCAAGGCCTTCCGCGTTGAATGCGCCGTGGCGTTTGCAAACAGCCATCGATGGACTAACTCTTTTCCGGCAGTTCACGTATGCAGCTGTGGCCCGTGCTCGGTGGTCTAGTACAACCCCGAACGGAGGTTTTAACTATCGGAGTCTACTGTGGTCTATGTAAACCAAAAAACGTAACGCAATATTTGGCACCGTTGATTGATGAATTGCACCGGTGCGAATCTGATGGGTTCCGATTTTCATCTGAAGGTCCCGCAGTTGCTTTGGAGTTGGACAGTATAATATATGATGCTTCAGCGTGTGCATTTGCAAAGCAAATCAAATGCCCGGTCGGCTGTGGCGCCACAGCCGATTTTTAATATAATATAATTATTAATATAATATAATATTATTATTTTTCTCAAAATCGACTTCCCGAGATGCACAAGAGATTTGCTCTAGCTAGTGCAGCTTAACACACCACTATGCATTGTTTAAAAAAAAACCACATATGAACTTACCGGTAACGGATACTGACGTGGATGATGACGTTCCAGTCACCGAGGGGCCGGCAGTTTGTGATCGGACAGTGCCGGCATTTGTGCTCGCCAGCGGTGCAGCGTTATTCGTGTTTGGTGACCGAATTCGTGTACTGTTCGTTTGGAAAACTGGACAACCGTGATTTTTCGCACCTCTGTTTGATCGACCGGACAGCGTGGAGGTCGCCCTCGGCAATGAACCATCGACGGAATCAGTTGATTGAGGACAATTTAAAGAAATATTATTCTGATGCACAGGGATACTGGTTCGTTCACCAGACCGCGTACCATTCACGTAGCCGGACGAATTAGTCGACGATGAATTGGAAGAAGACAATGCCGAAGACGGAGGATTGATTCGAGTCGGATTGGATCTGGCAATGGGTACACGTACAGGAATCGGATCAACACAAATGCCTGCTTATCAGGAATTAGTGGGATGTGCAGAACGAACGAGTTAATTCCCTGTGTAATAAGTGCTCGTAAGATGTTCCGTTTAAGTGACCAAGAAAAATCGACAACTGTACTGTCCTGTTGTCCACGTGAGTGGCAATGCAAAAGACCCTAAATTTCATTGTCGTCTGCCATAGTGCACGCGATGACTGCATGCATGGTAGTCTCGGGGGTTAGGACAGGCGAATGCCTACTGACTGGTCAATGTCACGTCGCAGTGTTTTGTTTCTGATTGGTCAATCTCGAAGTTGTTGTTGCGTTGTGATTGGCCCAAAACTGCTCTGCATTCAACTGCGTCCGTGTGGTGTTGCGTGTGATTGTGTGTCGGTGGACACGCGCGCTTGTCGGTCCGTTAGGCCAAACAAACCTGCGTACACTTACGCACGACTACACCCGATGACTTACTTCCAGGGCGTGCGCGCGCACGCACACGTCATCCGGGTAAACGGGCTGAGGCGTAATGGCTGGATTGCCTGAGTCCGGAGCACAACATCGCGACAGGCATTCACCGTTGCCTAGACGGACTTGGTTTCACTAACACAAATGCGTATTAGAAGAGATGAGCGAGGTACGCATGCCCATAGAAAACGTTTACAATGATGGATTGATTGGGTTAGATCGTGCATGAACTAAACGGAAAACGATCTGACCACTTACCTGGTCGTAGTATGCTTGTGCTTGTGCTACCTATAAGGTCGCGGGATCGATCATCGGGTGGGTTGATGGATTAGTACTACTGATGAAACCTAATTGAGTTGAATAAGTTGTTCCGTGCTCCTAGGACTTTTAGTTCGAGCTTCATCTATTCTGTACGCGATGAGATTAACCACAACATCAAGGCATGCTCAACCCTGAGCCCCACTGATTTGTTCAGTTACTGAACAGTGCTCTCGTTCACTACAGTGACAGTTTTACTAAAACTATTGATCCCGAAAAAGGACAGTTAGTTTCAGAAATCCTTGTACGTTCCCCTTGTCGTCTCGATCCCCTCCGGTCCCTTTCCTTGCGAAAGTATGACTGATTGTGTTCTCACAACGCTTTGTTTTCCGTAACAGGAACGACTAGCATGATAACCGCCTACTAAATTATTAACACATAAAGCAATTTTCTTCACAGATGAAAAACCATGCATCGGAAGTGCATGTGACCTGTTTCACTTGACAGTTTCACTGCCATTAGCAGAACGAAACCACCGCATCTATTGCGGTTCAAGCTGGGCTACGGATTTGTATCTTTTTCTTGTCCAAGCAGCAACCACTTTGTTGATGTAAAAAAATTGAGTACTAGTACTAGCACTTCTGATACACGTACAGAAGTTCGTGGGAGTGAATCCACGATACAAAATTGTACCACATAGCGCTGAGGAGTCCTATCTGAATAACAAAGGCTACGCGGTGTGCTTTTCCCGGGTGTGGCGGGAGGGAAGGGGGATTAGGCGCTGTTTTTGTTGTTGTTGTTGTTGTTATTGTTGTTCAACAAACTTAAATTACTACTTAACTTCGAACGATTTTAAGCCAATCGTAAATCAATCAAGCATTTAATATTCATAAGTTGATCGAATCGGTCAAACGTATTTTCTGACCACATCCCCTGATGGGGTATTGATCGGTCACCTTACTAAGTGACTGTAAATTAACTGAATGTAGCATATTCACAAATAAAATGATCATTTTTTTCATTATTACTAATGTTATGATCATTATTCCTTAACACAAATCCAAGTAAGTCCTATTGGGTTCTCTTGTGACGGAACACTACTAGTTTGCACCGTCAAATCGAATTCTAGTGGAGTAATCACGATCAGAATTACAAACTGAAATGTGGTACGACACCATTGTGGTGGTTCTTTACTTGACAGTTTCACAACGACAGTTCTTTTTTTTCTTGCCTAATTCTTCTCCCGAAGTTTCCTGATCTATCCGTATACGCTGGACGTGGTC